TAAAGGAGTAGTTCTTAAAGCTTTGCTACCCAGACACTGTTCCTCAGACTGGCTTTGGCATCAGTTTGGGTATTGTTGGGGATGCAGCTTCTTAGGTCTCATCTCAGATCATGTGATTCTGAATCTATAGTTTAACAGGAACCCTAAAGTCATCCGTATTCACATTAAAGTTTGAGAAGCCTTACCTTAGAGCAGTAATCTGTGGGACCTACAATGGAATCATCTGTAAAATGTGCATATACTTAGTCTGCGTTCCAGGTCACCCTGTTATAACTATCAGACTACCCAAGTGATTCTTAAACAATTTGGAAACCTTTGTGTTGGAACAGTGGTTGTAACCATGTCTGCACACAAAATCCCATTCTGTGTGGATATTGGATTATCAAACCAATAAAATTGGATTTCTGAGCGTGGGCCCCCTGTAATAAAACTTCTCCAGATGATTCCAGTGTACAGCCAAGGTTGAAAACCAATATACTGGAAGGAGTGATAGGAGTTAGGATATTATTGCATTGATTCTACTGTGAACTGATAAAGAGCCTGGATATGTGTGGTGGTATTAGAAATGGAAAGAATGAGACAAATGCATTTTGGTAACTTGGTCAGTTGATACAAGAAAGTAAGACAAAGGTTAAAGATGATGAAGACTTTAAAATATTAATATTAACAATGGTGAGCTATCTTTGGATAATATAATTTTCTCACTTTGATTTTTCTGCATTTTGTATAACAGTCTGCTGTCATATCTATAATTAGAGTAAAACAAATTAACTTTATTTTTAAGTAAACTGAGCATGATTTTGAACCTAGTTCACTTTGAAGCCTGCTAGCAATTGACAGACATCTAAAAAGTGAGTTCAGGTGTTGTATGTGAACTGTACTTAAATAGTATAAAGAAAAAAATTAAAAGTGAGGTGAGGTGAAGGAATTGGTTAGAAGGAAAGGCGAATATCTTGAATTGTCATTTAGAAGAAGATTGAGGCCTTAGATTATCCACATGAAATGATATTCAGGCTGTTAAAAATTAGAACTAACTGGGGGTAATGAATATAGATTTAGAATTAAATGTTATCTCCATAGAGCTGATAACTAAAAGCAAGATAAAGTATAGATGACAAATCCAAGGACAGGACTTTAGATTATAGATAAAATTACAGAATTAAAGTCACAGCATCAACTTGGAGAATGTCTGTGTTTAAAGGGAATGAGAACAAGAAGTGGCCTACAACAACAAAAAAAACAAAAAAGCAGAGAAGAGAACCAAAATAATCCAGCGTCGAGGATACCAAGAGAAGAATTTCAAGGAGAGGAGGCAGTCATTTGACATGCTTCAGAAAGGGCAAGGAAATAGAAGACTGAGAAAGGCTCCTGGCTTTGAGAGGTATTAATGACTTTCAGGAATAATATTATAGTGAAGTAGGCAGAGTAGAAGTTAGATTGCTGGGAGAAATTGAGTAATTTACTAAGGAAATGTAGAGACAGTGAGTGTCAGTCACTGATTTCAGAAATGTGGCTGAGAAAGTATTAAGGAAGTCATTAGAGGACTAACAGAACTAAGATAGGGGCTCCTCTGCCAGGAGCCAGTGGGATCAGAGACTGAAGGACGGGAGTAACGGAGTGCTCGGGGTCATCGAGGAGACAGATAATGGTGAGTTTACAACGAGGACAGACTCTTAAGAATTATCTTTCTTTTTTCATTTTTTCTCAAGATAATGTAAGCCTCATTTTACAAATGGACCTGTGTAAACTGAGACTTACAGAAGTTAAATGACTTATGCAGAGTCACCAGCCATTTAGGTAAAGGATCAAAGGGGGGTGGAAAGGGATTTGTCATTAACTCGCAGCTGTCCTTCCCCTCTTCCTGTGGGATTATGAATAGAAAGGACGACAGCGTCGATAAACAGATGTGCTGAGATGGTGATAATTGGATGTTCCTTTTAAGGTAGAAAATTGTATATACCACCAAGTATGTGAGACAGGCTAAAAATATATATATATGAATAAAATATTCAGTTCTCCTTGCTTGAGAGTGAAGAAAATGATACTTGGATACTTTGGTTGAAGCATTTAAAAGCTGCCTCTTCAAAACCAGGTGTAACTCTCTATTATGGAAAAGCAAAACATCTGACTTTATGCAGAAAATGGTGGCTCAGACATTAAAGAGTCCACCTGCGATGTGGGAGACCCAGGTTTGATCTCTTGTGTTGAGAAGATCCCTTAGAGAAGGGAATGGCAACCCACTCCAGTATTCTTGCCTGGAAAATTCCATGGACAGAGGAGCCTGGTGGGCTACAGACCATGGGGTTGCAAAGAGTCGGATACGACTGAGCGACTAACTCGTGTAGCAGAAGTTTAGCATGTCTTGACATCTTTTTACTGGTGTTTCGACCTTCGGCCCCAAAGGTCAGTATGCTGAAACACTTTTTTAAAAATCCCTCCTCCATTGTCAGGCAGCACTGCTCTTAGCTAGCTAGCTTCTCTGCCAAAAGTAGCATATACATTGATTTCCTTGCCAAGACAAATGGACAACGGCAAACACGAACCTTCCCTCACATCACCCATTACGGGTGTCTCTCCAGCAATGAGGTACAGGTTTGGGGACCTCTCACCTCGCTCCCATCAGACTCATTTCAGGACTGCTTTCGAAGACAGATCACCAGTCAAGGTGAGAGATCTCAACTTCTGAAAATTGCCAGAAGTGACTCAGCAGTGACTTCTCACACACTCCCTCTCCATACACGTTTTTTAAACCCCATGGGACGCAGACTGGGAGGTTCCTCTCAACAATACTTTAGAATGGCATAGCCTCTCAAATTTTGTTGCCTTTGCTTTTGCTAAAGACTGGGATAATTAAGTTAAATATGATTTATCTTGTTTGCTAATATTTGGAATGTCTTCTGTGGTAGTATCTATTTTGGACATAAATCGAATCATGGCTTTGAAAGCTATCCCAGTGTGCTTTTTAGAAATCATTTCCTACTGCTCTGAATAGAGAACCAGAGAACAAAGTCAGCTGTTAGTTCTGTAGCAGTCAGAAGCGAATTGTTTTGTGTTGGATAACCTGTGAAGCTGAAAGGCTGAAAACAGTAATAGATCCTGCAGTTGGTATGGTAAGTCTGTGGGCTTACTACTTCCCAGTATTAAATAGAGTAGGTAATATAAATATGCCAGTCTCCATATCACTTAGTCCCGAGTGTAGGGTCATTGCTTGTCAGACTTCCATGTGCCTAAGAATCTCCTTGAGATTAGAATCAGATTCTGATTTAGAGGTCTAGAGGGGAGGGGCTTGGGTGGTAACACTGAGATTCAGCATTTCTAACAAACCCCCAGTGATACCACTGGTCCCCAGACCGCATTTAGACTGAAGGGTTCCAGATGGTAACAGTGACTGCTGAGACTTAATGCTTCACATATTTTTTTTTTCTTTTAAAGGGCCAGATGTTTAAAAAAAAAGGGGGGGGGGGGCAGATGTAATGTGTAACTATTTTAAGCTTTGTGACCAGAAGTCTGTGTTTCATATTCTTCTTGATTTGTTTGCGTGTTTTTACAACTTAAAAAAATGTTGTAAACCATCTTAGCTCTGAGGAATACGTTTGGCCTAGAGCGGGAAGCCGGAGTCATGTCCACGGGGCTGTCAGTGGCTTCCCGGCCTGGCGTTGGTGCAGGTCCCTCATTTTGTCAGGTCCTCTTGGGAGGACTGTAGAGGAACCATGAGAATTGCAGAAGCAACCAAGGACCTTTACAGCAAGATCTGTGTTTGTTGGAGGGAGAGGAGATAAAAGTGGGAAGAAAATGAAAAGAAGCTACCATTTTGATTAACTCCCTTAAACAATGAAAATCGCTAAAAAGTATGCATGTTTAGATCATAAATGAGATCTGGCCAGAACTTTACGGTAGGCCCGGGATACATGTGACTTCTTCAGTGTTTGTGATCAGCCTGTTCTTTGTGTCAGTACAGTGTTATTAAGAACTTGGTCAAACTTGTGTCTGAATCCCAGTTCTGCTGCTTATTAGTTGGGTAATTTTGGTCAAGATATTTAACTTTTCTGAAACATCATAGTATCCCTGCTACTTGGGGTTGTTAACATTAAATAAGAATATGTATTAGAAGTCTCAGCATAGTGCTTGGCACTTAGAAAACAATAGGTGGTGTCTGTTACTGTGTTATATGGTGGTGAGTGAATTCTGTAAAAGAATCGGCTCCGTGACTGATTGTTAGGCTGTCCTGGGGTGTCCTGGATTATGGCCCTCATGGTATTGGTGTCCTTCCCAGTGCCTCTGCAGATGTAATAGGGAACCTTGAACCTACAGCCCTTAGTAACAGTGTATTAAGCTTCTACAAAATCAGCAGGAAACACATCAGTAGTAAACACATTGTTACTCTTTCATGCATTTTTACAAGTGGGATTTCTTTGGGTGAAATCCTTCCTTTAAATATCAAGAGATTTGATAGAGTATCTTCTCACCTTGGCTGTGAGCCGCTATTCCCATTGCTTATTTTGAGTAATATTGGAAACAGTTTTGCTTCAGTGATTTGCTCAACCTAATTTCATTTCAGTGTTTTAACTGGATAATGAATGATACAAATGAAAATTTTTGTCTGCCTTGCCAGGACATCAGGTGTTAGTGGTTATGTCCTTCTTGTTTAAGAAAGATTTGTAGAAATGTATAAAATTTAAAGCATTGAATAGCTATAAAATTATTCATTTTTAAGTAAAACTTTGGATTGGGCAGAATGTTTAAGAATTTCTTTATAAAATTTAAGAAACAGGTTTGTTGTTTTTAACCAAAGGAAGTCATCTTAACACTGATTAACAATAATTGCTTATCTTAAAATCAGAAGCCACTGGTATCTAACTTTTACTGTCAATTCATATTATTAACATATTATTGATTTTTGTCATGCTTCTTTTATTATATTAAAAAGTTTTAACATGTAGCATGGAATAACTTGTCATTTAAATCTATAGGTGCAAGTTTTTTGAAAAAATCTTTTTTAGCTTTTAGTAAAACATGGAGGAGACCTGTTTGCTGAGAATGAAAATAAAGATACTCCTTGTGATTGTGCTGAAAAGCAACACCACAAAGATTTGGCCCTCAATCTAGAATCTCAAATGGTTTTCTCACGAGATCCTGAAGCTGAAGAAATAGAAGCTGAATATGCTGCTTTAGATAAACGAGAGGTAAGTTTTTTTAATGAAAGAGATTATGCAAATATTGTACTAAATTTTTTTTTTCTTCTTTAAAAGCCAGTCTGAGTGGTCTCCTTTGCCGTATGCTATACATTCTGTCATCTGTATAGCCATAAGTATGAAAATACATCTAAAAAAGCCATGAGTATGAAAAACATCTAGAAAACCTGTCCTTTGACATATGTACATTTGTGTGTGTGTGTGAAAGTGACTCAGTCATGTCTGACTCTTTGTGACCCAGGCCAGAATACTGGAGTCAGTAGCCTATCCCTTTTCCAGGGGATCTTCCTGACCCAGGAATTGAACCGGAGTCTCCTGCATTGCAGGTGGATTCTTTACCAACTAAGCTGTGAGGGAAGCCCCATATATATGTTTAATTATATAGAGAGATGCTGACTCCAAGACTCCAGTCCTCCTGTTCCTCAGTCTCTGCCTGTCTGGATTGCTCTTCTCAACAAACATGCTTGGATTGCGCCCATCTTAAAATACAAAACAACTTCTCCATTAACCACTCTTCCTGTCCCTGTCCCCCTTCAGTTGTAGCCCCAAATCTCTGATCTTCATATGAGAAAAACAAAATTTAAAGAGTTGTCTGTACATACTAACTTCCTCACCTTCCCTTCACTCTCCAGCCCTTTGCAGGGCAACTTTCTTCCCTTCTACTCTGATGGAACTGCACTGACATAGACATTAAGAGTCACCATCTTGCCAAATCCTTTCTCTCCTTCTCTTACTTGATGCTTTTCTCTGCTCATCTCACCTGAATTCCGCAGCACCACTTGACACAATTAACCACTCCCTTCTTAGTGAGACACTTCTTTTTTTTTCTTTGTTTACTTTATTTAATTGGAGGCCAGTTACTTTACAGTATTGTAGTGGGTTTTGCCATACATTGACCTGAATCAGCCATGGGTGTTCATCTGTTCCCCATCCTGAACCCCCCTCCCAACTCCCTCCCCACCTCATCCCTCTGGATCATCCCAGTGCACCAGCCCTGAGCACCCTGGTGAGACACTTCTTCCCTGGGCTGCAGGGACTTTGCTTCCTGGCTTTCCTTTAAGTCTTGTATGGGTAAACATTACCTCCACCCACTCAAGCATAAATGTGGCAACATTTTCAGTTCATCACATCCAAACAATCTGGAAGTTCAATTTACTTCCAAAAATATAACCTAAATCCATTTACTTCTCTGGTTCTCTACTCCTCCCTCCCTCAGTCGTCCTTTCCACCTTCACTCTTCATCTGAACTGCTATAGTGGTTTCCTCACTGGTCTCCTGCCTTCTGTTCTAGTCCCCTTAGAATCCATTCTGTGCACAGTAGCCAGAGTGACATTATTAAACTTAAATTAGATCATATCACTTAACCATTTAGTGGTTTTCATGGCACTTAGAATAAAATCCAAACTGTTAGCTCAGACATAAGAATTTATATGGTCTTGCCCCTATTTACCTTTCCAACCTTATCTCAAATGACTTTTCCTGGCATGCTGTGGTACTTAGACTACACTAAGGCTTTTTGCACTTACTATTCCTTATGTCTGAAATCATCTCCCAAGTTCTCTCTTGACTATATCAGATCTTCAAAGAGGCGGTCTTAGACCATTCTTCTGAAGTAGGCCCCTCTCCTTCCATTACTCTTTATCATAGTACCCTGTTTATTTTTATCACATGCTTTACTTAATTTATGTATTTGTTTACTTGTTTACCCCCTTTCTCTTTTATTAGATTGTCAACTCTGTGAGTGCCAGAATCATAACTTTCTTATTCAGCAGAATATTTTCCAGTCTGAAAGCACTGCTTGTATAGTGGACATCCATAGATAATACTTAAAGAAGTTATTGTAATACACAGTAAATTTTTTCCTCTAAAAGTGATTGATTTCTCAATGTTTATTCAGTGCTAACTTGGTTCTGATAGAACTTATATAACTATTATTTGTTTATGTTTAGAAAAATTACTCTCTTGTCTGTTTTTTAATTTCCCATAAATTTCTGACAGTTTGTAAGCTCCTACCTCTCCATATGGCCAAAAATTTTCTTAAAATTAAAAGATTTATATTGTTTTACCTATCGTGTTTTCTTTAGCTAAAGATTACTTTAAAGGTGTTTTTTTTTTTTTAATGTGGACTGTTTTTAAAGTTTTTACTGAATTTGTTACCATATTGCTTCTGTTTTATGTTTTGGTACTTTGGCCACGAGCCGCATGGGATCTTAGCGACCTGACCTGACCAGGGACTGAACCCGCACCCCCTGCATTGGGAGGCGAGGCCTTAGCTGCTGGGCCACCAGGGAATTCCTGACACATTTTAATTTAGTCCTTTCCTCCAGGTGATTAGTCTGTAAATGGGCAGTCTTCTTCTTCACCCCATCATTGACAAAATTTTGAGTGACTACTTTACCAGACACTATTTTAACAGAAATTAGGGATACAGTGAGGAATGAAGATCTCCTGCCCTCTAGAAGCTTATACTCTAGCAAAGGTCTAGAGATGCTCACAAGTAAGATTAAAAAATAAATGAACACAATATCTGAGAGTTGTAACTGGTTTGAAGAAATAAAAACAAGGTGATATATTAGAGTGATAGCTGGGAATGGGGGTACTTAATTTATCCAACCCCCCAAAGAAAGAACAAAGACTCTAGTAAGAGTCAGCCTCTGTGAGAGAAGACTGTGTGACTATAGCTAGATAAGGGAAGGAAAAACTGAGCAATACAGTACTGTGAAAGCCATCTCAAGAACCCATCCATCCCTCTCCCCTCCCAGCCTATAACTCAGGAAGGCTCGAAGCTCCTTTTCTGACAGGGAACCAGTATGGTTGGCCATTGCCTTGGCTGGCTACCACACTTAGGAGGGGGTAGCTGCTTTCCTCTGAGAGCCCTGAGTCTTTCTCTGCCTATTCTTTCCCCACTCTTTCTCAGGCTAAGTAAGCTCTGTGCTGTGTGCTCAGTCATGTCCGACTCTTTGCAACCCCATGGACTACAGCCCGCCAGGCTCCTCTGTCCATGGGGTTGTCCAGTCAAGAACACTGCAATGGGTAGCCATTCCCTTCTCCAGGGGAACTTACCAACCCAGGATAGAACCTGAGTCTCCTGTCACCCACATTGGCAGGCAGATTCTTTACCACTGAGCCAGGCTAAGCTCAGGGGTCAGCTAATGTGAGGTTGGTACTGAGAAAAATAGGAAATATCCTCTCCTTCCCCGAGTGTCTTTTAAAATTTTAACAGTTACCAATATACTTGGTCAATAAATACCTGGGTTTTTGTTTTTTTTTTTCCCTAACAATGAACTTATTTCACCTATATAATCAGGGGAAAGCTATTTTAATTGTGGGGGAAAATAAATATTTCTTTAATAACTCCTTTGTCATAGTCTCTTCTGAAACAGTTTTTGAAGATACTATCACTTTATACATGGCATCAAAGTGGTACAATTTATATGTTGGACTGTTTGAGTTTTCTTCAGTGGTATTTTGGTAGCAGTAATATGCACTGATGCAAAAGAGGCACTTTTATTCCCTATTTGTCTTTAAAGTAGTTTACTTTTTCTTTCTTGGTATCAGTATTGGACTACTTTGAAGGTTATTGATGGTTTGTATTAATCTAAAAATAGAAGCAATTTATCTTTGCAACAGAAAAGAGAAAGGCGCCTTCATTTTAATCCTTCCTGCGGTAGAGAGGGATACTGCCTCCATGTTGTTGTTGTTGGGTTTTTTTTTTTCATGTTGTTGTTTTTGAGTCAGTAAGTTGTGTCCAACTCTTTGCGACCCCATGGACTGCAGCATGCCAGTTCCCTGTCCTTCACTATCTCCCAGAGTTTGCTTAAACTCATGTCATTGAGTCAATGATGCCATCCAGCCATCTCATCCTCTGTTACCCCCTTCTCCTCCTGCCCTCAATCTTTTCCCAGCATCAAGGTTTTTGCCAATGAGTTGGCTCTACACATCAGGTGGCCAAAGTGTTGGAGCTTCCCCATCAGTCCTTCCAGTGAATGTTCAGGGCTGATTTCCTTTAGGATTGTCTGGTTTGAGCTCCCTGCTGTCCAAGGGACTCTCAAGAATCTTCTCCAGCACCACAATTTGAAAGCATTAGTTCTTTGATGCTCAGCCTTCTTTATGGTCCAGCTCTCACTTCCATACATGACTGCTGGAAAAACCATAGCTTTGACTGTACGGAGCTTTGTCATCAAAGTGATGTCTCTGCTTTTTAATACACTCTCTAGGTTTGTCATAGCTTTTCTTCCAATAAGCAAGCAACTTTTAATTTTATGACAGCAGACATTGTCTGCACTGATTTTGGAGCCCAAGAAAATAAAATCTGTCACTGTTTCCACTTTTTCCCCATCTATCTGCCTGAAGTGATTGGACTGGATGCTATGATATTTATTTTTTTGAATGTTGAGTTTTAAGGTAGCTTTTTCACTCTTCTTTTGCACCTTCATTAAGCGGCTCTTTAGTTCCTCTTCACTTTGTGCCATTAGTGTCATCTGCATATATGAGGTTATTGACATTTCTCCCAACAATCTTGTTTCCAGCTAGTAATTCATCCAGCCTGGCGTTTCACATGATGTACTCTGATTATAAGATAAGTAAGCAGGGTGACAGTATACATCCTTGACATACTCCTTTCCCAATTTTGAACCAGTCTGCTGTTCAATGTCTAGTTCTAACAGTTGCTTCTTGTCCTTTATACAGGTTTCTCAGGAGATAAGTAAGGTGATCTGGTATTCCCTTCTCTTTAAGAATTTTCCAGTTTGTTGTAATCCACATAGTCAAAGGCTTTAGCAAAGCCAATGAAGCAGAAGTAGATGGGATTTTTTTTGGAATTCCCTTGCTTTCTCTATGATCCAGTGGATGTTGACAATTTGATCTCTGATTCCTCTGCTTTTTCTAAATCCAGCTTGAAAATCTGGAAGTTCTTGATTCACGTACTGTTTAAGTCGAGCATGAAGGATTTTGAGCATTACCTTGCTAGCATGTGAAATAAGTACAATTGC